ACAGAGGCTGCACAGCACCGCAGCCACCGCCAGGACCAGGGCAGACGCAGGGACAGAGGCTGCACAGCACCGCAGCCACCACCAGGACCAGGGCAAACGTAGGGTCAGCTCTGCAGCCACCAGGACCAGAGTACTTGGTTTTCACCTTGGTATGTACAGAGGGCCAAAAGATTAAGCATTGGTAATACTGCGCCCCCCTACCCCGAGACAGTCAAGTAGCCTACAAGATGTCCACTCCTCCCTGGTGACCCTGAGCCTCAACCCACCCCAACCCAGGATGGCAAAGGGGTTTGTACATCATTACTGACAAGCTTGGAGCACCCACCCTCAGCTGCATTTTGTACACACCCTTATTGAGATAGCATTCTCACTCCACACAATTCATCCTTTAAAAGTGTGTAATTCGGTGGATTTTAGGATATTCACAAAACTGTGCAACCATCACCATGATCCATTTCAGAACATTTTCGTCACCCTCAAAAGAAACCCATGCCCGTTAGCAGCCACTGTCCACATCTCCCTCCCGCAGCCCCTCACAGCCACCCATGTACTTTCCCTCCCCATGGATTTTGCTTTCTGGACATTTCATACAAACAAGAGCAGGTGATATGTGACCTTCCGGGTCTGGTTTCTTTCACTGAGCGTGTTTTCACAGTTCATCCATGTGATAGCACGTTTCGGCCCTTCCTTCATCCCTATGCTGAATCACATCCCATCTCATGGGGGACCACATTTCCTTTCTCCATCCCTTGGTTGATGGTTATTTGGGTTCTCACCCCTTTTTGGGTACTGAGTGTGGGGGTCTGTGGGCCATGGAGGGGAGGGGAGGGGGTGGTGTCTGAGACAGGGGGAGTGGTGTACGCGGACGCCATGCGGCCGAGATGAGCTTGCGCGATTTGAAGAACCCCAGCAAGGAGGCAGGATGTTCAGGGGTGGCTGTGGTGCTGTCACGAACGTTTGGGTGCAAGCCTCTTTGTGGATGTCAGTCTCATTCTTCCAGTCCAGCCTTCCTCTTAAGCCTTTTCACAGCAGATTTTCTGTTCAGCTCGCCGGGAGCTGTACTTTAGAAGAAGATCGCTTCCATTGTGAAAATACCTACGGAAAGACAGGACTCCTGCCGAACACAATTCCATCTGGCCCGTCCTGCTTCTGACACGTCTATTCCACAAAATAAAACAGGCTCCACCAATGACACAGAGTGCGTGATTTTCCTGTGCAAGCGAAGTGAAGGCACCGACCTCATGGGTCCCAGGAACCTCTTGGAAATGGGAGTTTATGTCCCTCTCAGAGATGAACAAAAGGGCTCAAGCCCAGAATATCCTGTTTCCCGTCACTCTGAAACAGCTGCAGCTCAAGACATTGGACACAAGGCAGATTTCTGCGAAGCACATTCTATTTTCCCACTAGCACAAAAATATCAAACCTGATACACAAGCCCACGAGGAACAGAGGTAAAAATAAATTGAAGGACGGTTTGCAGGCAGAGGTGCATGTCCCGGTGGCATTCCGGTCTTGTCAATGCCACCTCCGAAGGTCAAGGGCTCAGTTCCGCCCGGGGCTCTTTCTGCGAGGTGGGTGGCAGGGACAGGGAGAGCACTGGCCTGGGAGTCCCACGACAGCACCCGAACCCCCTCAGTTGCCAAGGAGCTGCCTCATGCTACCTTCCATGGGCCACTGACTCCCACACTCACTGGATGCCTGCCCTCCTCCCTCAGCCCTCCGCAGCCTCCCTTGGGGAATCATCCCTGACTCTCCTGCCCTCACATGGCGCATTTCTGAGGGCCCTGGACAGCTCCTGTTCTCCCTCCCCACTCCCTTCCAAGGAGGCCTGTTTATGCCCTCTTGTTCATCCCTCACCCAGGACCCCCTAAGCACAGGGCCCGCCTCCCCATGCTCCTCCCACTCGGGAGTTCCATGGAAGCCTCCAGCAGGACTCGCCACACTCCAGGCCTGCTCCTTCCCAGGGAAGGCAGGAAGGAAGGCGGGCCTCCATCCTCGCCTCGGAGCCTGGACTTCGCCTTCTCGCCCCACTTCTGTCCATCACCCCACTTCTGTCCACTTCTCAACCAGCTCCACTTTCCCCATCTTCCTCTTGCCCTTGGGCCAGGGCCACAGCCACACCTGAACACTCTGCCTCCTCACTGGGGTTCTTCAAATGCCCAGGCTCATCTCCGCAGCGGGGCCTCTGCACACTCCCCCGCCCCACTCTGCATACGCCACCCCTCCTTCACTGCCTGAGCAGCACTCCCTCCTCCAGGCAGCACCCCATCACAGCTGCCAGTACCCCGGCACCCAGTCTCACCCTGTCCCACAAAACAATGAGCAAAGCTTTGAAAGGCTCTCCTCTGTCAGACCTCAAGGTCTATGAGGTCAGGAGCTGCGACCAGCTCGTCTGTGGCTCTCCCCAGCACGAGCAACTTGCTCCCTGGCACCAGAGCTCTGTAAGGATGTGGTGAATCAACGGTCTGCTTCACTAGGCACTACTGTGGGCCAGGATAAAGACTGTGGAGAAGTCTAGTTTGCAGCTCAGTGATAACTTAAGAGTTTGAATTGTCCATGTGTTCTCATTGTTCAACACCCGCCTATGAGTGAGAAAGGCAGCAAATCACACTGCCACGGGTGTACCTATGCAACAATCTTGCATGTTCTTCACATGTACCCCAAAACCTAAAATGCAATAAAATAAATGGAAAAAAAAAAAAGAATTTGAATTGTCATTCAATGTCAGTTTGAGATAATGACTTCGTGGTTTCTGCACGTAAACATTGTAGAAATAAGTCTAATGATGAAGATGGCTGTGATGGATATTTTTATGTAATATGGATATGAGCCTTTTTTGCAGGTGACAAACAGGACGAATGCGGCCTCTGCCTTAAGGGCCTTACATTCTAATGAGACTCCAAGAGACACATGGACGCCCCCAGTTTTGGGCTGTGATGGTTGTTAGGAGGGAAAGTAAAGCTGGCTCCAGTGGAGAAAGCAGACGAACACACCTGCACAGGTGATCAAGGCCGATGCCAATTGCAAAGGTGCGCACGTGCGTGTGCCCCAATACACGATGAAATGGCACTTTACCTCTGCAGCCTTTCTCCCCAGAGTGATAACCCCCATCGAATCATGAAGAAAGCATCAGACAAACCCCAGCAGAGGGACATTCTACAAACTCTCTCAGCTACACGCCTCACAACTGTCCAGGTCATCAGAAATAAGGGAAGTCTGAGAAACTGTCAGAGCCCAGAGAAGCCTCAGGACTGAATGCAATGTGGTGTCCTGGGAGGAACCCTGAGACTGCCAAAGGAGAGCAGGCGACAACCAGGAGACCTGAGTAAAGCACCTGCCTTAGCAACAAGGTATCTGTACTGGGGCAGGGCCTTTGTTAGTAACAATGTATCTGTGTCAGTGTTAGTAACAATGTATTTGTGTTTATATTAGTAACGATGTATCTGTGTTGATTCAGGGCCTTACTTAGTTGGTAACAATGTATGTGCCTTGATGCAAGAATTGTAACAACCACCACTGGTGTAAGCTGTTAACTATTAGGGAAAGGAGTGTGGGGCACATGGAGCGCCCCATGATCTTTCCAGGTTTTCTGTAGATCAAAACTTTCTAAAAAAAATAATAATAAGGTGGCCAGGCACAGTGGCTCACATCTGTAATCCCAGAACTCTGAGAGACTGAAGCAGGTAGATCACTTGAGCCAAGGAGTTCGAGACCAGCTTGGGCAACATAGAGAGACCTCCATGTCTACAAAAAAATTAATTAGTGGGGCATGGCGGTGTGCCCATAGTCTGAGCTCCTCAGGAAGCAGAAGCAGGAGGATCGCTTAAGCCCGGGAGGTAGAGGATGCAGTGAGCTGTGATTGCACCACTGCACTCCAGCCTGGGTGAAAAGAGCGAGACCCTGTTTGGGGAGCCTCTGGGATGAGGCGGCATCTGAGCAGAGACAGGAAGGGGTGAGGGCGAGCTGCACGGACATCTGAGGGAAGAGTGCTGGAGGCAGAGGGACAGCCATGAGGAGCCCTGCCAGTGAGCTGGGCACAGGGGACTGATAGTGTCAGGAGGGGAGAGGGGGGAGGGGCCGACCCTGGACCCTTCCCCAGGATGGGAGGGGAGGAGGTAATGAAACGGCTAGGGTCAGGGTGATCTCAGACACTAGTGGGAATAGGATGCTGGACATGGAGCCCATGGAGGGGCACGGCAGCAGGTCTGGCAAGGCCTGGGAAGGGGCGGGCACCGTCCGTCAGAGGATGGGAATTAGAAGAGGAGAGATGGAGGAAGTAAGCGCCCTCCACGGATGCTGCCAAGGCCAGGAATGGTGGAGGCAAGGGGTGCCGAGGAAGACACTGCCCCTGAGGTTGGGGGTATCTAGGCTGAAGAGAGTGGGT